ATTTCCCCAGCTCTATCCCACACTTGTCATTCCCCTCTGTGACTGCACTGATGAGGGCACTTCCCAAAGCATCCAGTGAGCTGCACTGTCATTTCTGCACTCACTTGTCTAGACTTCACTGAGGACCACAAGGCAATAGTTCCAGGTATCATTCTACACTGCCTGTTCACGGTTCAAAACTAGTGTGCACAAATCTATTCACCCAAAGGGCTGACACATGTTCCCCCCCCATGCACAGCTAAGATCACTCATACACACTGGCACTCTTTTGTCTATATCTGTGCCTTATTTGGGCACACACAGATTTCCTCTCCATGTACACATGCTATATTCCACTCACACATGCACATCAGCTGTCACATGTGCCAGCCCTGTGCACTTCATGCTCCAAGGAACACAGGGTCTCCAGTGTATTTTTCTGTTAACAATCGTGGTACAGAAGCACTAACATTCCTCCCCACCCCGTCCACTGCCAGCCCATTTGTTATTAAGACATCTCTGCACCAGCCAGGTAAGGTTGTTGGCAATGCCATGACTGCCTCTTGCAGCCAGGTCTCCCTGTGCAGAAGCCCTTCTTGCCCCCACTCCTGAAGGACCAGCTACACTTGCCAATCTGGTGAGGATCCCTATCAAACACCAGAGTATTTAATACTGGAGATTTAGGGGAGTGAGAAGACCTGTAGGTGAGTGATAGACTAAGACATCTCTTCCTACCATTAGAAGTCTCATAGGGTAAAGTAACTTCTCCGATCAAATGCAGAGATCATGGTTCCTGCTCTGGAGCAACAGAGCTAAGGCTGCCTGACCTGCAGCAGGCTTCAGAGCAAGACACAATAACAGCACACATGGGTATACAGAAAAAATATATAACAAGATATAGTGCACCACTGTCACAAACATCATCTCTCCAATTTCTCACATCTGGGAGATTTGTGGTTATTTTGGAGTAAGTTCCCAGACAAAGAGATGTCAATAAACTGAGCAGCACAAGCTGTGCCAGAGCAAGAGTTTCAGGTCAGCACCCAAGGCAAACAGTAAGTGTGGGAAGAACACCCTATCCAGCATCTCTGCCCTGCCACTCTGCAGCATATTTACAGGCAACACCTTCAGATGTATCCAAAGTCTGTGCACAAATGAGTTGTATCTGGTAAATGCAACTGCCACAAAGAGAACTTAACAAAGAGTCCATTTGCGCATGTTCTCAGAACTACACCACCAGAACCTCAGGGACAGGCAGCCACCAGCCGCTGAAGTTTCCCAACTCTGCCCACCCAGCATTCTCTCCTGGCCATCCAGGAGCAGATCTACCCATGTTGGTTTATAAAGCCCTGCCAGAAGCCTGACAAGGCAGCAATGCCACTGCTGGGGAGCAGCTCTGCAACACTGAAGGTCTTCTGAACAGACAAGGAGGGTGAAAGAAAGCCAGCCCAATGGTGCAGGTCCTGGGACCACAAGTAACATCACCATCCAGGGGCTCTGACCAAGTGGGCATGAAGGCAGCATGTTCCCCACTGCCTCCAGCACGAAGTGTTCAGGGCACACAGCTGGCAGACAGCACCAAGGCTGGCTCCATTGATGGCAGCAGGAACCACCTTCATTCTCCTCATCACACCATTTCACACCTGAGTGGCAGCTGATTTCCTCCATAACCCGACTACCCAAGCCACAAACTGGAGGCAGCCCAGTGCACACAGGGATGCCACTGCTGCTTGTCCAGAAACGAACACTGTGCCTTCTCTGTCAGCCTGGCCAGAGTTACAGCACATAAATGGAAACAGCATAATCCTAAACAGTATCAATAAAACAGTTAAAACCAACAATTTAAATGCACATACTAAAGCAAGGCAGAAGACAGGAAGAGAGGGCAGAAGATGCTGCAGTGGGTGAGCACGGCTCAAGCAGAGCTGATCCCCGGCTGGTGGACAAGCTGGCCCACAGTTCCCAAGGCAACTTGTTCAGCCCTGCTGCATCTGAGCACTCCACAGAGCAGCTCCTGCCACGGAGAGGAGAGTCCCGCTGAGCACCTATGGGCTGGGCTGCGTTGCTGTGGGAACCACAACCTTGTGTTTAGAGTCTCAGCCATTATGTTGCTTTTCGTATTTAACAGATTTCTCATCTTACTGCTCCATCTGAGCTAATGTGGTTTGCTGGTGGCTCTCTCGTGTCCAAAGTTCAGCCACACTCAGCTAGTCTCTTCCCGTGGGCAGTGATGGACGTGGTGTGACCCCATTTGCCTCAATCCACCTCTGACACTCAGGTCCCAGACTACAAGGCCCATCTACACAACCTCTGGCAAGCTCCAGCCCCTTGTACCTAGAGTCACCTCGAAACACTGACCCAGACACACACCTGTAGCAAGGCTCACTGCCACAAACCAGATCCTTCTTCTCCACCCACAAATTCTCACCCTGTGTCTCTTCTGTCACAGCTCTAGGCCACAGTTAGGGTCAGGATCATGTCTCTTCTCAGTGTGCACACCCTTCTTTCCAGCTGTCACATCACAAACCTCTGCCAGAGGCTGTGAAGACAAGAGTCCCAAGTCCTGCTTGTGCTCTTGCAGCAGCAGG